TGCTGAGATTCTGTAACTGGCCCAAAGTTACCCAGTGAGCTCCATGGCCGAGCGGCGAATTAAAACCCAGTTTTATGCTCTGAACCACTGTGCCACACTGGTTTTCAGTGCTTAAAGTGCTTGATTAAACACGATTGCATATCATGTTCTTAATTTGGTAGCATTATTGTCTTCTGAAAAGCAGGTAGCTAACGAACTAAAATATGCATTTTTCTGGATTTTTCTGCCTAGGATTCACCTACTAATAAACTATTATACGCCAAGGAGATTCCTGAGTATAGAAAAATAGTACAGAGGTATTACAAACAGATCCATGACATGCCACCTCTCAGCGAACAAGAAATGAATGCGCATCTAGCAGAGGAGTCCAGGGTAAGAGACTGGCTCTTGACAGTATGTTTGACTGTGCCAGAATGGCAATCGCTTATGAGATCAGCAGCCCAACAGCATCCCATCATTCAGGAACAAGGACTTTGTCATGTCCAAAGAGATAAGACTGGTTTCAAATCTACATAAAGGTCTTTTTAAGTTCTGCAGCCGAACAATACTCTTGTGACATAATTTAAAGTAACATGAAGACACGAATGAGCCAAAGCAGGCATAAATTAATTAAATTATGTTTACACTATACTATAGTTTCATTTCTTTTCCACAGTACTTAAGCTATGTATGTCACATATTAATTAATTAACTTCGAAGAAATCCAGAGTTCAAATATGCTGATGCTAGCTTAGCGTGTAATCAAATCCAAGGACCATTTTAGTGCAATTGATTTCCGTCAAATAGAATGGATATTGCTTGGTGTATGCTGATTAATCTTCTTCCCCTGTTCATTTTATCCCTTATAAAGAAATATCGGAACGAGTTTAACACCAATGTTGCCATGACTGAAATTTACAAATATGCCAAGAGATACCGCAGCCAGGTAAGTAGCCTAATAGGCAGAGCTCCTTCTCACTTTCATTCCTGATTCATAGGATCTTTGGTCAACTGTTAATGAGGTTGAGTTTACGTGTTTCTACATAGCCCAGTGCGCTAAGCCTGCCCCACAAGTCCAGATCTTGATTTTTCTGTATATGCATTTTATAGAAAATTTGCAAGCTTTTGAGATTCCCAGACCTCTTCCTCAGGCAAGAGGATACAGAAAGTAGGTCGTGGGGTAGGGGAGGCTACCTTGTTGTTGATGTCATGGTGATTACATGATTGCAATCTTGAAATCAACCTGGAAATGATGGATCTTCAGACTTACAAATAAGGCTGTAGCAGGTGCTGTGATAGTTTCGGGTTTCTGCTGGGCCTGCCCTTAAGAAGAATAGGGAATGAGCGTGATGGTTTTTTATGTAGTGAAAACACAGTGATGGTTAAGCTGTGTGTTTAAGGTGGTTTTCTCATAATTTTAGCGCATCCGTATCTATGTACAGCTGCTGTTGCTATGTTATCCAAAGAATGTCCTTACACCAAAATTTAGAACATGGTTTTGCAACATATTATTTGCCACTTCTGTGGTCTTCACATGCTGCCCATCCTTCACCGGGCCGACGAGTTGCTATGTTATGAGCAGCGCAGTCGTACGCGTGTGGATAATTCAAACACTGCGGCCTGGATTAAACATTAATGATACTGATGCAGAAAATGCAAAGTTTATCAAACCAGGAGCAGACTTTGTGCCTGTGTGCTTCTTCCTCCCCTTCCAGCTGTTTTAAATTAAACCATTGTTTCCCATTAGATCCAGACTGAGAAAATGTAGTTTCATCTCGAACTACAAGAAAGGGTTCTAACCATTTTTGGCTCTACTTAGAGTGTACACTTGGAAATAAATGGGACAAGTTAGGATGAGGTCCCGTTCATTTCAGTGAGTCTGCTTTAAAGATTAACACTGGGTAGAGCCCATTGACTTCCCACCCAGGAACAAACCGTATTTTGCGATCCAGTTCGCAGCATGCCGTTCACATAGTGTGGAGATATTTAATCCTGAGAAGCTAAACCTAAGCTGAAAGCTGCAGTACTGTCACACAGTACCCTTCCCTGCAGCTCACAAGGAGCTAAGACAGTGTATCATCATTCACTGCTTTACTTCCTTAATACTCTGAGGATTACTACAAAATGGGGAAGACGGAAAAGCTGAAAGAGGTGAGTGATGTAAGATTTTGAATAGTATGGAATAACAAAACAAATTAAAAATGCTTCATTCCTGTTAGACTTTTCTGAAGAAAAGGCCTATCAAAATCAGTAGAGCTTACCTCTGAATAGACATGCATAAGACCACGCTATCAGAATGCAGGAATCTCAACTGAGCTGTAGGCTCTAATCCAGTAATTTATTTTTAAATTTCTTGTTCCTCAGATTGTGAATGCATTGGAGTCCAATCCTACAACAAGGCGCACGCAACTGCAGCACAAATTTGAGCAAGTGATTGCTCTTATGGAAGACAATATTTATGAGTGCTGCAGTGAAGCATAGGTGGCAACATGGACTGTTTCTTCCATGTCTAGAAGTGACCTTCTCTACAGTGCACTGTCTTTTGGGGAACATCCTTTCAAAGTCTGTGTGTGTCAGTATGTAGCCCGTTGTATGTATAAGGTGACTAAGAAACCAGCCTGGTGGTTAGTCTGGCCAATCTCTTTAAACCATCTGGTGAAGTGAAGGTTGTCCACCAAACAGCTTGAATTTCCTTATGATCTGCACTGCATGGCACCCATAATTTATTTGATCCCTCAGACAGAGGCACAATACTTGCACCGCCCACTGAAGTAGTCTCTTCTGAAGAGATCCTTCACTTATTCAAAGTGGCCGTCTTTCCCTTCATTCATTTTCCCAGAGAGTTTTGAGAAGCAGAGATCAGGATATGGAAAGAATGTCGAGATGGTTAAGAGAAAAGCAGAGACACCTCAGGGAGCAATGACTGAAGGTTTCCAAAGGCTCTTGGAGCAAAAGTGGAATTCCCTCAAACAGTGCCCCTCTTCCTTCTGTGTACTTTAAATATCAGGGAACCCATTTACTGTACACAGTCTGCTGCATTAGATGTATTTGTGCCTTTCATTTTTGTACTGTACATGTAAACATAGCCACACCTTCATCCAAGGTTGGAAAGACTCACAGACTAGACAATGCAGTTGCTTCCTTAGTAGTCATGACATGTGAAAGCACTTTACCCCACAACGGAAATGGCTGTTGCCTTGCTGGAGGAATCATTATTGTGTAGCAGACAATGTCAGAAAAGAACAAATCAGTGCAGCTGTTCCTACTTCCCAAAGCTTCCCAGATGTTTGTGCCGACTGAACTGCAGTCGACAGATTCCCCTCTAAATGCCCATCTGGCTCAAGAAACAATTATCCCGAGGAGAAGGAAAAATATGCGCTGCAAGGGTCAAAGGGATGCACTTCCTTCCCTTTGTTCGGGCCCCCAGTACTTTAGAGGGAATGCACAGAGCTGAACTCTTGGTTCTGCATGACTTCAAAGTGAACACAGTTGGCTTGACACAAGACCACTGGTAGTTTCACTGAAATAAAAGATTATCTCTACCGCTCCAACTTCTTTCATAAAATAACATCACTTTGTGCAGGATTCTGTATTTGCAGCACCATGAAAGTATCATTTTCCATAAATACAATGCCCTTTAACTGTTCCCAATATGCCTTTACACTGACTACGGTGGGAAGCATTATTCTCTCTCTGCTGTGAGAAAGAACCACACCAGTCTTAGCTCTCTGTCAGAATTCCCCTTTAGTATCTTAGGTAGCTGCCTCAATGGCTGTTGCAAGCAAGAAAACCTGAACTTACCAGCTAATGCTGGTGGTAATGCCAAGTTCAAAAACTGCCAAATAATGCTTTAAAAATACTACACTACCTCATGAAAGACAAGGTCTAAAGGGGAGTTGCCACCATTTATAATGCTAAGATTTGATCACTTGGGTTGGAATTAAGAGGAGTTTTTTTTTTCTTTCAATCAAAATCTTGTTGTTTTAGGTAGTTATCCTTTGTCAAGTATATATTTCAGAAATGTCCAGTGCAGAATATTATTTGGGGAACTGATGTGTCAGAATGAATTTTATATATCAGTATATTAAAAGTACAGATTTTATCCAGTACATAAAGAGGACTATAAGGCATAACAAAAGAACTGCAAAAGAGTACACCCACTGAGGAGAGCTACATGTTTGCTGAGAAAGTGGCTGCAAAAGAGAAAATTTAAGAATGTAGCTGGGCTACATTTAACTTTGAAAGAGATTTTTTTTCAAAATTCTTATTTTTTTGAACTGTGAAGAGCTGCCAGTTATACACACACTCACAGAAGGCTGACTCAGGAATGTGAAAAGAAAGGCGCCTGGACCACCAGTTGGGAGGAGGAGGGAACTGAAGGAAAACAGAGACAGGATTGGCGAATTTGCTAACCCAGACTATGCAGACAGCTGTAATTTGGGGAAGCATCAGCACAGTTTCAGCACCTAATTGAGAGTACAGAAAGTCACTGTCTGGAGAGGCCTCTAGGCCAGAGGGACTGATCTTTTGTCTCCCTCACAGATTGCTATTTCCTGAGTGTGTGCGGGTGCATGTGTGTGTTCGTGTGTTTCAAGCAATGTGCTTGGCACATGTATATTATGGCGTATGCTTTATTATTTAATTGTTTGTCCAAATATTTGCTACAACCATTGAAAAGAAGTAAGTTGTCTACAACCAGAAACTGAGGGTTGGTGCTGTCTCACAGAACCCAGCTCCACTGTAATATATTTTTAACTTTGTCAAGTTACTTGTAAGTGTGTGTGTTTTTCCCTTCCTTGCTGTTTAATGGAAGTGGCGGAATCTTTGGGCAGGAAAATATGTTTGTAATAAAACAAGTTGATCAAAATTGTGTGGGGGTGTTTCTTTGGAAGATGAACAAAAGTAAATTAGTGCACATTGTCCAGCTGTAAATGCTATTAAAATCACCTAGCTCAGCAGCAAGCAGACTTTATGCCTGTGCAATCTACTTTTTTTATTAGAATCCTAAATCCACCAACCAGACCCAAGTGCAAAAGATATACAATTAGAATTAAAGAATTCTGAGCCCACATGTTCAGTTTGAATACCAGAACTGAGTCAAGTTCACAATCGTTCCACACAAAACTCCACTCCTGATTGCCCATCCCCAACAAGTTTTCTTCTTTTCAGAAGTATCCTGGGATGGTGGGTGCAACATTGACGTTGCTGTTGTTAAGCAAACCCAATCTATCCCGACCCAGTGATTCCCACCCATTCTGGGTGGCCCTTTTGGGAGCAAGAAAGGGTGATAGGAGCAAGCAAGGCTGTATTGGGTAAGTCATGTCTAAACTTAATACTGAGTGATAGGGAGTATTTGCCATCTCCAAAGAATTCTTGAACCAAAAAAATTCAGATCCCTGCTGAATCTTGACGAACTCAAGTCTTGAAGGACTAAGGCACTAGCACTGGACCAAAGCGATCCAGTGGGTTAGAGGTCTGCTTGTAGGCTACAGTCTTGAGGAAATCAGGCAATGCCAGGACTGAGCCAGCCGGCATCTTCCCTCCCCCCAGGCTGCCTCCCTCCATAAAGAGAGCAGAAGAGCCCTTTAGGCAGCAGAACTGCAGCAGAGGCTATCATGTAGGGAAACTGTTCAGACCTGATGCTTCCACCTACTCTATGAAAGCCTGCCTGGAGGCATACAGTCTGTGGTTCAAAATATCAACATCACTTCAAGAGATTTTGTCTGGTTCAGTCCAATTCCTGATTCCCTCCAGACTGGTCACCTCAGGAATCCACCTACCTGAGAGAGTCTCTTGACCGTTAATTAATGTAGAAGTGAGAATTAAACAGGAGAGTTTTTCACTGGTACGGGAGGAAACGCCGGGATGAATGCCTCCTCCTGCGGAACTTCTGGATTGAGATGTAGCGATCTTGAACACACTCTGCTCACAGGCCCACAAGCACCCTCCTTTCAGCCTCACTTTCTGTTTCCTCATTATGTGCATTAGTACCTGTCTCACATTTGTTCACTCTCCTGCCTTGTAACTGCCTACTCAGACCTGCTTCCTTTGAGACCCTGAGTCTTACCTGCTTTGCTTCTTGGCTCGAGCATGTAACTTCTCTGAGCTTGTCACAAGCGTCCCGTCCTCAGCCTGCCTGCATTAAGCTACCCACAGAGCCTTCCTGCTAGCCCGCTAGTTGGTAAATCCTACTTGATTAATATAGTAGTGACACTTATTGGTGCACCTTATGGATTATGGTATCTCTAGTACTGATTGCAGTCAGAATTTACAATGGACAAGTTGTATAGTGCTGAGGCTGAATCACAGGAGAAACTGCATTCTGGAAATCCCACATCTGGCAGAAAAATAGATTGGAGCTCAAAGGAAAAGGTGGTGAATAGACTAAGTGTTACATCCTTTTCAGAAACAAGAGCTGAATCTTTGACCTTGGTTGGTTTTGATTCAGAACGTCACAAAGAAACAATATAACAAGGCTATCATTCATAGAAACAATACCATACCATTCTGTACACACCATGCGAATAAAAGAGAATAGTTGAAACCCAGCTAGGAATTTAAGCAGTCACCATTTATCCAAAGAGAAAAGAAAAATGGCAGACTCTATTTTTCATCTGGCAATTGTGGTTCTCACTTGAATCATGGTATTTTTGGAACATGAATCATTGACCTCAACTTCTCAGATCAAGCACCCCAAAATGGGAACTGAGCTGGGAAGTGCAAACGAACAATGGCCGGTGGAGACTCGCACCATTGTGACCGTGACCAAATGCACAGTCGGGCAGCTTGCCTATATTGTCCAGTGTACAGAATCACACGCTGAAATACACTCTTGGACAACCACAGGCCATCCTCCTCTGCATCTGATCATCCAAGTATAGATTTTCACTGCACAAAAGCAAAAGCTTTCCCTCAGGGTTTGGTTACACTGGAAACGATCATCTTAATCAGATACTCTCTGTAGAAATGAATGAATGGAGGGAGAATTGTGACTGCACCTACTAGTTCTGATCGTAGGGACAAGTCTATGTGATCGCAGATAGGCTTCTGCATACACTTTGGGGAGCAACAACACGTGGGTTGTATTCATATAGTAAGCTATATGCATCAGCTCCATGCACACATGACCTTAAATATGTATGAGCAGGGAAGGTCCAAGAGAGATCTCCATCTCCCTCCACCCCATGCCTACATTCCTATCCAGATCAACAACCCTGAACTGTTGCAGCCACAAGGAAGGAGATGCTGACATTTAGCACAACATGCCTGTGTTGTTTCACCTACAACCATGTCGATGTTTTCATATTTGAAAGTACTAACAGCTGGCTAAAATACTGAAGAGGTCACACAGATGATCTCCAGTTGCTGTTATTACAGTGTGATTACCTAAGGAGAGTGCAAATCTCAGTCCAATTAAACCTGCATCAACCAGGATACTGAGCCAGCTTGCAGTCAAGAAAAATAATTTCACTCAACTCTTGGTTGAACTCTAGCTAGAGCAAACCTCAGTCTGTCTTCAAGGATGACAACAACATGTGGGTTACTGGCTTTCAGAAACCTCAGCAGGTGAAACATCTCCATCACCACATCACCCTTTTTATCCCCTCCCAAAAGGAGTGTTTTCCTTGGAGCAGAGAAATGTGGGTTAAAATCCCTTCTCTTTCATAATGCTGACTGGGTGGTCTTAAGTTCTATGCTATTTTTGTTATTATTTTCTGTTTTTCCCCCTCCTGCCTTTCGTCTAAGGAGCTCAAAGAACTGAGCATAGTTCCCTGCCTTTTATTCTCCCAACCCTTAAAGGAAGGTTAGACTGAAAGCTGGAAACTGCAGAAAGTCATCTATTATACTCCATTGCTGAATGCTTCCAGAGAAGAAGTTTGATCTGCTTTGAACTGGATCCACTATTCTGATAAAAGTTGGATCCTCCAGCCACTCTTTCCCAATGCAGGCTCTTCAGCCCCCTAAAAATGCTACACCAAGACTCAACAGAACCTGCTGAAAGGGGTGAGCTGTGCTTATGGGAGGAGGAGGATCCCCAAACATCAAAGGGAGGGATCTTCCATGAGCAGAACCTTTTCTTTCAAGGAAGGTCCCTTCCTCTGTACAATCGTGACACCTCACTCATGACACCTCATCCAGACCTCCCATGTTTCCCCATTGCTCTTTCCATTTCTTTCCTTTCCCAGGGGAAAAATATCAGTTAAGGAGAAAAAGACAGAAATGCTGCACAATGCCCTTCGCTGTGTAGGAAGGTGAAAGCATCACTGAGTGGGTTTTTAACTTAGATTTCTTCAGCCCAAGGTCCAAGCTCCATGCAAATTTAAACACACAGTGAAATGTTTTTCATCTTATATTTAGCAAATAGAATGGGAGAACCTGTCATTTTTTGGTTTCTCCCCCATTAAAAATTTTAATATCTCAAGTTCTTTCTCTCCCAAATATAAGAACTTTGCAAATTTTGGTAAGCTTTTATAAAAATGTTGGTACCTTCTCATCAAAAACAAGGTGAGCTCACAGCCATGTGGATCAGCCAAATTCAAAAGTCACAGTTCATTCCTGGCATGGAAAAGACCGTCATGTAGCTGCTGCCATGTAGCAGTTAATGATCAGGATCCTGTCACTAAAAAAAAGTGGCAATCCTAATTAGTGGGTTTTTAACACAGATTTTTTTCAGCCCTGTGCAATTTTAAATTACACACACAGTTAAACATTTTCCATCATATATACAGTAAATAGGATGGGAGATTCCAATCCTGACTCTTAGAAGCCAAACACTGCAAGCCTGAGCAGATGAATCTCTCAGTATTTGTTTCTCCCATGTTCACTTTTTTAAAAATTTGAGGTTTTTCTGTCCTGTTTATAGAGAACTTCAAGAATTTTTCTCTTTTTTAAAAAACAAAACTGAACTGAAACTAAATTTTCACCCATCCCTACAGGTGATGCAGGCGGTTTAGGAACTCCACCAGGTATAGAGAGAGAGTTTAGCCATTTCCCCCACTGCGGTGGTTGGGCCAATAAGCTGCTCACCCCCGAACTGCTCCTTGGATGGAAGCCCCCATTGGCGGCACAGAACTTTCCCTCGGGCCACAAACAGCTTTTGGGAGGGGTCATCTGGGATGTAGCAGGAGGAAAGGGTTGAACTCCCCCTCTCCGCCCACCATAGTCCTGGTCCCAATCCTACAGTTGCTATTTGCTATTTTAAAAGGTGTCCAGTGCTCAGCCATGGTGTTTAATCATGAATATAGCATCACAGGTCCTAAGTCGACCACTGGAACTGCCACGTCTGTCACACACACACTGCACTTCCATTCACCATCCCGCTCGGCGGGTGTATTGCAAAGGGATGATGTGGAGAGTAATACATAAATTACTTCTGGAGAGGTAGCTGTGGCAGCCAGAAGAACAACTATCCTTCACAGTAGCTTTTAAGGCCAACATAGTTCAGTCCTTTCCTTGTTTTTAACTATGTAACCATAGTTCTTACAATTTTGCCAATTAAGAAAACAGACGGTTGCAAAAATAAAAGGGTTTAATAAACCATTCAAAACAGCTCTTCATATCTACAGCAACAGTTTTTAGGACCTTTGCTCTAATCTTTTTAGCAGCTCTGAGAAATCAGTCTACTTAATTAGTTGCAAGTAGTTTGCACAACCATTCAGCCAGAGTTCTAGCAGACCTTCCTCCCACCAGAGATGTAAGAAATATTTTCTTGGGACTGGCACATAATTCATAGAAAAGCATATGCTGAATAATAACCTCTACTTGTGGAGTTCCACTTATGCAAAGACATCAGTTTTTGGAAACATTTATGTCAAAGACCTCTGAGTTACTTCTGGACTGGTAAGAGTTTGTTATACCTCCCTCTTT